TGCCATTCACTGCATTGGGATTGATTTGTGTTGTTGTTTATTTTTTTTGCTAGAGGAACAAGCTTTTTGATGGCACATTAGAAATCAAGTTTGGCCATGTCAAATTTGATATTTTTGTTAGACACCCAAGTTTAAGTCATCTAATAGACATCCATGTCAAATAGGAATTTCTGGAATTTAGGGAAGAAGCCTGGATTTGAGATACAAATTTGGAAGTCCATCACCATGTAGACTGTATGTACAGCTATCATCTGAATGAAGTTACCAAGGGTACAGGTATATACAGTGAACAGGAGCAGTTGGAGGACTGAGTCCTGGGGCACCCCTGGAATAGGAGCTCAGAGATGAAGAACCAGCGAAAAGACTGAGAGAAGGTAACCACTGAAGGGGAGGAGATCAAAGAGATTATGGTATCCTAGATACCGAGAGAACATGTTTTCAGGACAGAGTGATCAAAAGTCTCAGCTATTATTAATGGCTTCTATTCTGAGTAGGAAGTAAGATCACATTTTGAAAGTGTGAAGGAGTGAACTTGAGAAAAAGAGACAACTTAATGAAAAGCGCCTGGATGCAAAAGTCTGATGGACCTGGGTCCCAGTGCCTGCTGAGTAGCTTAGCTAAGTAAGGAAACCTTGTTGGGTGTGTACATTTTCACACACACCAAACATGGTGAAAATAGTGAGGAATATAAAAGTGACACAGTAAAGGTGGTTAAAAAAGACCCTCAGAAGATTCAGCTGAGATGGAGAGGGAATTGTTTAGTGCTAGTCAGTATGTAGAGAGATCTCAAGGGGATCTCTCCCCTATAGATGTGGAATAGAAAGGTGAGGAAGTAGACTGACTTATACCAATATTGGGAATTGGAAATGACAGAAGGAAAGAAGGAAACATGAAGGGCATTTAGAGAACCAGCGTCTCCACAATTTCAGAGACTAGGTTCCAAAGTGATTATATCCTGGTGAGGAAGCCCTCCATCCAAGTAATGTTTGTAACAGGAGCATCAAGCACAAAGCATCACAAGAAAACACTTGAGAAAGGTACAGTATTCACAGACAACAGAGAACAGTGGTGTTTTCATTTTCTCTATCAGGTGAAGAATCTTCAGAAGGAAACTAGAATCAAGGAACAGTGAGGACAGTGTGGCACCTGCAGAATGGGAGAAGTAGAAGGCTGGCTCTGGGTCAATGCTCAGGTTTCAAAAGAGGAAGTTAGAATCCAAAAACTCAGAGCTTGGTAACTGTGACATCTTTTCTATGAAGATAAAAGTAGATTGCTAGCATGGCTTGTCAGGACAGAGAACAAGTAAATAATGATCACTGGTAGTTGTGGAGTACGTCTTATGTAGGGTATGAGATAACAGAAAGGAGCTGAGAATCAGTGTGCCATGAGAAGACCACCTCTCTGCTTTCCCACCTGCTCCGTCTTCCCCTCTCGTTCTCAATTACTGCTCTGGGTGAATGAAGGGCATGCGTTAGACTTGATGATTTTTTATTTCAGCTATCTTCTGAGAGAGTCAGTTATTACAGTCTTGTTCAAGATGAAGAAAATAATGGGATAGAGTTAAAGTGCCTAGTTGAGTAGATACTAAGCTGTTTGAAGTGGGAAGTGGTGTTGTGAAGTAGAAATGACCATTAATGTTGGACTCAGACATGGAGTTGATACTGACCTTTCACTTGCAGCACAAGCAATTTAACTTCTGTGACTTCATTTTCTCAAATAAAATGGGAATTATAAAACCTACCTTGCTGAGCTACTACTACAGGGAGTGGAGAGATGACACCCTTGGTGTCCCCAGTAGTGGAGTGGAGATATTCTCTTTCTCGGCTTCTCTGCCATTTCCGACTCTTTGTCCCCCACGAAAACCCACTACCACTGAACAGTAAGTGGGGAGATGAAAGAAGAACTTGAGACCACGTGTAGTAGGGGAAGAGTGGTGGATCAGAGGGGACTGGAAAAGTAAGCATTGGGGGGATGGAGGGGTGACTGCTCTAGTGCCTCCTGTCATTAGAAAAGAAGTTCCATTTCCCCAAAGTCGCTTCTTTGAAAGAAACTAGATTTAATAATGCATTTTTTAGTATTTTACAGTGGATGAATATATATGAAATTGTATTTCAAAAGCTTTTTCGTGAAAACATTATACTTGTATACCCAAGCATTCTTAGAACTCATTTATAATCATGATCAACGAATGTATTTTATAAAAAACTTCACATTGTTTTAGCCTCTAAGCTTTATCACTGTTATTTTTAACTTTTTGTTTTGACATGTTGCTTTTAACTGTAATTAAAAATTATTGGCATCTGTGTTTACTTTTTAGCTCATGCATACCTTATCTCTACAGCAGAAACTAATTAGTATGTGAAATACAGTACTGTAAATTTGCATTAAAGGGGAAAAATTCTAATCTGATCATATGTAAAATATGGTAGAAATACATTTTAATATATGAAAGATAAGTATGTGGTATTAATTCTGGTCCATTCTTATAACTAAGAAATACCATTTTAGCATTTGTTGCCATGCGCCTGTACTTGGCTCGTTCAGTGTGGTTAAACAGATTATGGAATTTAGAAAAAAAACTGGTCTTCTTTCATGAAACTTACCTAGTGTTTAGAAAAATAGCTATTATAGGTGATGGGCTTGTTTTAACAAAGTAAAGTGAAACACCCTACAGAAATATTTTCTGAAGCTCCAGAATATCTTTTCTGGTTCCACATGGATTTCATACTTACCTTTCTTTTTAGTATTCACTGCCTTAAGTCATTTGACATCTTAAAACATAACAGGCAAATGTTGCCTCTTCTGTGGTTCTCTTTCTGATGGACTATGAAGAAATGTTTCTTTTGATTCACCCTCATTTTGGAGGCATGTAACTTTTAGATTGTTACTGTCAATTTTTTAATCTCAAAAATATTTCAAAATTGTTCATAACTTTCCTGTTCCTGCCACCATCACAGCGGTCCAAGTCATCGTCATTTCTCTCCTGAAGTCCTGTTATTGTCTCCTAACTGATCCCTCCTATTTATGCTGATCTTCTCGGAGGTTAACATTTAAAAACAGAAACTTCTCACCCTCCTTCTAACTCCCACCATATTACTGAATTTATATTATGCCAAGAGCATTAGTTTTCCTTAATTACTCCATTTACAATCGTAGATACCTCCATTTTTTCTTGATACTACTTACCATAATTAGTAATTATTTATTAAATTGGATACTTAACTTGTTTGTTATGTCTTCTCCACCAGCCTGTGATTCCGTGAGCGAGGGGATCATGTCTTTTTTTAAACCAATTTGTACCTGCATTGTTCTTAGCATTTAGCAAGTACATATCAAGATTTTGTTTTTTAATAAATCGGTTTGGTTCTGTTTATCACAAAAAAGCCACTTACATAAAATTTAGTTATGAATTTCATACTCATTATCTGATGCTCATGAATTGCACTGTCCCCTTCTCTGCTTCTGCTCTGTTTTTCCATTGACACTGATCACCAGCCACCAGACTGAAAGTTTCCGGGAGGGCAGGGACTCTGCCTGTGTTGTTCAGTGCCCTGTCTTCAGTGTGTAGAATGATGCCCAGAATATATTTGTTGAAGGAATGAGTGATTGAATAAATTAAGTCCCACACACTTGACATCTTGGGTTTCATTCCTATGATAAGCAATTCAGTTCAACAAACATTTATTCAGTATCTACTACATGCCAATCATGCTAGACACCATGGATATAGAGATCAGTAAGTTATTCCTGCTTCTGATTTATTTTGTATTAAGATGTTTGCTTTTCTAATTAATTTAGAAATTATAGTATGCTATGACAGGGGCTTTCAAATTGTTTGAGCACTTAAGCCTGGCTCTTATTAAACAAATAAAACTGGAGTGGTTACATACTCAGGCTTTGTTTCACTCATTTTAAATACTGTGTTAATTACACTTTACTTTCTGTTCAAACATAATTGGTCTTACCCTCTTGGAATGGTTTTTGGATCTTAGCATCTTTGATCAATCTCTTTCTCATTTATCTTCTGGGCCTACAGTCAGATGCTTTTGTAAAGATAATAAGTGTAATGCAGTACCGTAATATTTTGCTCTCCACAGCTTATAATTTAATTGTGATTTGCTGACATTATCAAGACATTGATCCAGCAAGGGCTTTATTTGGGATCTTGCCAGAAGCAGAGACTAGAGACGCTGTTAGTTTCAGCAGTGATCTTCCTTTTTCTTTAAGGTGGTGTTATTTTTGAAGCATGGAACATTTTTCCAGTTCTCTATATATGTTGAATAAAATTTCTCCTGGTTCACTTTTGATGTCAAGATGAGATTTATGTACAGAATTGGGGAAATACTCTTATTGTTGGTTTGTAATACACCCAGATTTTAAAATTGTCACCTCAAGTGGTTGTGACTTTTATTTTAAGAAGCATGTTAAAAAGCCACTAACAAAAAGATACAATTTTTATACTTTATTCCTATTTTTAGATTGTATAATGCAGAATTAAATCTTACATGTGTATTTTGTGTTCCCATTTTCAGTAACTGGTTTTTCTTTTAAGTAAGAGACTTACAAATTCTGTGATCCTTACTGAAATATATCCTTTTTATCCCCTTGAATACAGTGTTATACAAACATGGAAATACTACCTACTCTGTGCCTAAATGTTAGCTGAGAAGGCATTCCCTGCAAGGGAAAAGCCTAACTATCTAATTTCCTGTGTCCCTGATCACCCTTTTTGTGGTTTTTGTATCATTATTGATGTACTTAAAGTATGACCAAGTTGCAAGAGTTTTTAACTTATAGCCATCTGATATAAATCATTACTTGGATTAAAAAATTTTTTTGTGTGTGGTGGAGAAGCATAGCAGTAAAAGGAACATGGCACTGTGTTTTTAAATCTTTTTCTGTTTCTGGGCTTAACCTTTCTTTGTCTTAGAGAAATATAGAAATTTTTATATTATTAGTGCTTAGTACATATGTTAAAGTCTTGCCTTTTTCTTTTGTAGGATGAAGTGGCACACACTCTAACTGAAAGCAGAGTGTTAAAGAACACTAGACATCCCTTTTTAACAGTAAGTGACTAGAGGACATGTTATAATCATAACATTTTAAATTTAAGGAAGTTTTATTGCAGAAACTAAGCCATGAAAAATAATATTTTACAAGATGTGCATTTAAATATGCCATTTTCTTTGTGGAAAGACTTTCAGTCAGATTTCCTTGAAATTACAGGAGTCTATGAATTAAGTGTACAATGTGCATGCATTTGTAATCCCTCCCCTTATGCACCCATTATTTTCTTGAGACTTTTTTTTTCTCCTATGAATTTCACTGCCTTAAAAAAACCCCACCAAATTAATCACCTTTGACATTTTAAGGAGACCACTGAGAAACTGGTAGACTTAAAAAAGATTCTCAATATTAAATGTAAGGATTTTTTATGTTTCTCCTGTTTATTGGATTCTGATAAATAGTTAAGGGATCAGACAGCATTGTTTTTAAATATGAAAGGCAGAGATCTTTGCCGAGATAAATAGATAAAAAAGAGATCTATTTTTTATAGAATTGAGACTTCATACCTTAAGAAATACAAGAATGGAGTACATTAAAGATAGGATAAGTCATGTTTTCTTCACTAGACAAAGTGTAAACTGTGACTTACATGCATATTACTTAGTTGTTTAAAAAAAAAATTTTTTTTTTTTTTTTTAGTCCTGCTCTTAGATTGCTTTTAATAGAGGCGTAATTTGTAGAGTTTCTGTATTTTCCTGGCTCCAGTGAAGTATATTAAGATGAAAATTAAACAGCTAGACTTTCAAAAGTGGGAACCTTTTAAAGATTCAGGATTATCTAAAGTAGGAATTTTCAGGTGTCACCAGATACCTAGACTTTGTTCCTTTGTTGTGTTTGTCCAGTGTCATAAGATAGTTCTAAAGTTATGGTATCTTTATAACCTATAAAATTACATAAGCCAACTCTGTTGGATTGGGTCAGTTATGCAGGCAGTATGCAAAAAATGATGTTGAAAGGATATTAGAAATCCAAATGTAACTATTGTAACTACATTCCCAAGACTTGACTAGAGTAATGTGTAGTCCTCACTTTAAGGTTGCGTGCATAAAAGCCTTGGGGACAAATACACTTTCAAATAGATTGAGAAGTGCTCATCACAATTACTAAGTTTATGATTACTTAAAAGTTTATTTATTTGAATTTTTCCCCTAAAAATATCCAATGCTAATCTAAATAAAATTTGTTGTGTGTTTCTCATAAACTCTTATTTAAGTTCTTTTAAGAAGTAAATAGACTCTTGAGGAGTAAGAATAATTTATTTCATCAGTGATGCTTACTGTTTCTAAGTGTTCTGTTTTTGTGCCATTATAAGAATGTAGGATTACAATATAACATTTTTCTTTTTCATTTCAAGTCCTTGAAATATTCCTTCCAGACAAAAGACCGATTATGTTTTGTGATGGAATATGTTAATGGGGGAGAGGTGAGTCTAGAAGCAAACCCAGCACTTGTGTTTGCATGGTGGTATTTTCATTGTTTAAAAAATAAAATATGATAACATAACTGTTCCTTGTAGGGGCTTGTGTAGCTTTTTCTACTGTTGAGTTAGGTGGGAACTGAATAATTTTTAATGAAATGTAGTGCTTGTTTATTTTTTATGGCTACTTTTAGATACTAGAAAACATAATCATGTTCTGTTTCTTCCTTTTTTTTTTCAATTTACAAAATTTTACCACACGTGTGATTTTTGAAGTCATGTTATTTAATTTTGAAGATCAGAAATACAGGATTTGTGATGCTTTACAAAATTCTTCCTCAAGTTTTTGTGAAACTTGTAAAAGATGTTTTAACCTATTTTAAACTTTTGAATAATAGTACATAGGCATACTATGGCTGAGTTTTTTCTTCTTCTACAAAGTAGTTAGAGTAACATTGACTACATTTAAGAGATTGTAAGGGATCTTATAAAGTTTTCAGGAGAAACTCAATCAGTTTAGTAGGTAATTTCACCTATTCCTTCATTTCTTGTCCTTTTTCCCCCCCTATTTTTAATCAAAATCAATGTGAGGGAAAATTTTAAGTTACTGGAATAGTTAATGGAAATATTTTATATTGGGCTTTCCAAAATAAACATAATTATTAAGTAGAGGCTTATGTCTCACAGACCTTAAAATGGTCCTCTCCTTTTCAAACTAAAAGAATAAATTAAATATCTTCTAAAGAATTTTCTCCTATAGAGTTATTTGACTTGCAAGAATTACTTTGCTGCAAAATTCATTCATTTATTTGACAAACACATTTTAACTGCTGAGGCAGTGTAGGATTGCCAAAATATGTTAAGACATCCTTTCTATGGAGCAGTTTATAATTTAGTTTGTATCATAAACTGCAGTGGATAGTGAAGAACTAAGTGCTAATAAATTCATTAGGGAAAATGCTTTCTGGATGATCTAGAATTTAGGTTAGGCCTTAAACGCCAAATGAGTTTTCAAGAAGGATCTGATTTGAGAAGATACTACAGGCAGAGAGGATGATGTGTGCATAGTCATCACCCATAGGTGGTGGGTGAGTGTAGAGTAAGAGGGACTTTAGCAGTTAGATAATAGCCCAATATTCAGCATTGGGCTTTCTCAGAACTGAGAAAATGCAAGGGAGATAGACATCATGAATTGTATAGGATTGATAGGTCTTAATGACCAATTAATTGGATGTGGGTAGAAAGAAGTATCAGAAGTGGTTTTGGGTTGGAACCAGGGAGAATTAATAGATAGAGTGAACTTGTGATGAATATGTTGCAGATAAGGTTATAAATTTGGTTTGGAAAAGGTTTTTCCTAAGTCTCCAAGAAAATGCATATTTAGGGATATCTCAAAATAAACAAAGGGTCAAAACTATGAATATAGATTTGGGAGCCATTCCCATAAAGCCTGAAATTAAATTGATGAAGCCTCTATGTTAGTATCTATCAAAATAAAAAAATGCATCAAATTCTTGGACCTAGCAATTTTTTATGGCTACTTTTAGATTCCTCCTTGGAGGAATTTACCCTACAGACATACTCATAAGTATGTCACAGAATGATACGTGGATAAATATATTCATTGCAGCATGTGGCACCTTAAATGAGCATCCAGTAAGGAGACTGCTTAAATAAATCATGTTAAGATATGTTATGAAATGAAAAAAAGAAAACAACAAGGTACAGAGTGTAACACATGCTAGCTCTGTACTGAAACCGGACCATATGTGTGTGATCTGTGTTTCTATGTGCCCTAAATATCTCTGGAATTATGTGCTGGGCATTAGTGCTTATCTTTGGGCAGATTCTTTGAGTGGCTGGGAACAGTATGGAATGAAAACTAGCTCTTCACTTACGTATTCTTGAGCAGCTTTTGTATTTTGTACGAGACATGTATATTATCTGTTCTAAAAATGGAAGGAAGTTAGGTAGGTGGATGGATGGATGATCAAAAGAAAGAATAATATTGGGAGAGTGATAAACAATGACAAAAACTTGAAGAAACACTCTTAAATTGGAAAAATATTCTTACACAGTATCATATATTTACATCTGTTAGAATTATCACATTGTTTTATAATGGCCCTTATACCTGTCTGTCTTTCCTACTAGACTGTGAGCTCCCTGAGGGCTTTGTTTACTGGTATAACCTATACACCACCTGGCACAAGTAGGATGTTGACAAATATTTATTTCATGATTTGAATGAATGAATAAATGAATAGATGAACAAATTCCCTCAAAAAACGGAATAAAAGAAGTTAACAAAAGTGGTAAACTAGGAACTGCTGAGAAGTAGGAAGAAAAATAGAAAGTAATATACTACATAGTTTATTTAGAAAGAAAGTGGAAAATGTTTTTTCAGGAGGGAGTATCTTTGAATACATTTATGAAATATGTATTTACTGAGTCTTTGTGCAAAATGTTCTGGTAGATATTGTGGGCCATACGAATCTGAATTAAATATAAACCTTATGCTCAAAGAGTTTATATTCTAGTGGGGAAGAAAAAATACCAAATTTGCACTAAGTGTGGAGTGATAATTATCATTCGTATCAGATTAAGTACCATGGAGCTTCTCTGGAGAGAAAGAAGAATTTTGTATGATAGGAGCTACCTGGAACCTGTAAACCTAGAGTACTTAAGAGATTAATTAATTGATGGTTGTTGAAAAAATTTTACACACAAAAACAGATTTTCATTCTAGGCAGATGGTTTTCTTTAGCATTGAAGCTCCTACATCATTTCTCTTGTTTGGCATTTCTTCTCTTTTTTAGAATTTCTGTTTTGGGAATATGTTATAGATAAAGACTAAATTAATATATTGAAGCAGGTGAATTAATTCTGGATCTAACATAGTTTAAAAGTGCATGAAAAGAAAAGCAATTATAGCATGAAAAAGTAATTAAAGTACATGAAAAGTAATTGAGATACATATATAGAAAAATGAAAATTTCATTATTTATAGTTTCACAATTTTAGTAAAAGTGAAACATTTGTGTATGTAATCTCCCATCTTTTTATTCTTTATTAAAAATACTTTTAAACATATTTTAAATGTACTTTATAAATACAAATAGTTACTTAGTTCTTGGAACTTACTGGGGTTATTTCAATTCTTAAATTTATTATTTCTGGGAAGGAAATCTATGTTCAGTATATCCTTGTGGTGACTAACTTAATTTTAATTTTGCCTTAGGTTCACCAAGCCATTTACTTTGCCAAGGGACACTTCTTAGAAATGCAGAAAATTCAATTGTTATAGAGTATAAACACAGTACTGATTTTTTTAAAGACTGAAATAGAAGTAAAATAAGGGAAGCTGTAAACTCACACAGACAATCTACACCAACTCTTATAGATACACCTTGAGTTACACAATGGGGGATATCTGTGATATCTAGGAGACTTGAGCAGAATGATGGCCTGTTGAAAACTAAGCTCAGGTGAATTAATGGGACTCACACAAATAACAACATCCTCAAACCTCTTTCTGTCCAGCTTTTGCCTAGAGATGGGCTTCTCTAGTGGACTCATTGAAGTAATTATAGTAGCCCAATTTTTATTTAATTCATACTGAGTGATATTTTTATTTAATTTATACTTATTGTCTGTTGATTTTTAATTAGCAATAACATCCTTTTAGCCTATGTTCTGAAATGTTATCTTGAAATATAAATATAACAGTTGACACTTCCCTGTATTTAGACTTTCTTCACTTTTTTGTGAATACCTGAACTTCTTTCAGCCTAATAGGCCCTACAGGAGTTTAGCATGCTCATGGCTATGCTTGCTGCTAAATATTCTTGATGGAAGTGGGTTATGAGAGAAATACTGACTGTGAAAAATCAATAGTAGATGCTTATGGAATCACAGCATAACTGCATTTTACTTAATATGAATCCAAAGAAATAGTAGGCTCAGCAAGAGAGAGCATGTATGGTGGATGGATGTAATATGGTGATTGTGCCATTTTGGTGAATGTATTCACTGAGTGACCACAAGATGAGAGAGAGTAATTTGCTGCTGTTTTATTCCTTGTGAGTTCCTACTTGCCATCCTTAGAGTTTCATTGGATATAAACTCAGGATATAAACCTTCACTATATTGAGACAGTATGTTGCGTTTCCAGTCTAGTACCTCCTAAGCAATTTTCCAGAGTGATTTTGATTACACTTCATAGTTTATGTATTAACTTTAGAACCCACTCCATTATAGTCCATTTGCCTATTAAAATTTAATGAGCAGCTACTATGGGCTGAACTTAAGAGGTTGTAGAAATGAGAAAAAAGTGATATTTCCTGTAGAAGATGAGTGTCTAATTGTAGAGATAGATAGGAGTATGCATTTACTTTGTAGTGTAATTATTGCTGTGGTAACACTGGTTACTTTGGGATTTAGCAAATGGGCACTTGAATCAATCCAGAAGGAAGAAAGAAGAGGAAGGGGGAGAACACCAGGGTAGGAAACACTCAGAGTGGTTACTAACTAAAACTTAAGTATAACTGCAAGTTAGATCAGTAAGGATGTGAAGGAGGGCATTTCTACACAGAGGAAATAGAATGTGTAGAATGTGCAGGAACATGCAAATTCTCCCCCCACCTCCCTAGGTGCAGCACAGGATGGATGATCCTGAAAGTCCTGACAGGAAAGCCAGAGGAGTCTGAGAAGCAGTCAGGGTCATCTCAGGGCAGATCACCTCTCCCACTTAATTTAGGTTTTATCCTAGAGGCAGCGGAGTGTCATCAAAGGATTTTATAAGAAAATGCGTTAGAAAGAATACTTTGTAGCAGTGTGAAGCTTGGACTGGAGAAGACAAAACTGGAAGCAAGGAAACTATTTGGGAGGCTTGTTGCAGTTTGAAGGTTTTCAGTAATCCAGTTATAAAAATGATAAAGTCATCAATTGAGACAGTATCAGTGAGAAGGAATTAAATTCTAACAATGTTTATGTACTGGAATTTC